AAAGCCTCCCTGAATCGCAACAGCTGAGTCACCGGCTTTTGAAAAGCTCCGCAGCGCATTGTTGTGTCCAGAGAAGAAATGAATCGACAGCTTTATAACCAAGACTAAATGACGCACAAGTCGGGATAAAGTCATGGACACAAGTTTGCAAGCTGCCTGGAAATCTTGAGAAGATGTATTTGTGGTGAAGATAATCATTCAACCACACAAATTAAATGGGTAATTATTTTGATTCACAGATGTAAGTTGAGACTCCCATTTTATACGAAATGGCTTGATATAAGAACATTTTTTACTGCCTTCTTTTGCATTTACTGCAAAATCTGTATTTTGGACAAGTTTTGAAATTGTAGGTAAAATTCTGCCTTTTTGGGGGGGGGGAATTCAAATCAATCCACACCTTGAATCAGGTGATTTTATTTAATCTGAATAAAGTGAGAGGAATGCTGGGTATTTACAGAAGATACTATGCAGGCAGGAAACTGAAAAGAAGACCTACGATCGTGTGGAACAGGACGTTTGCTCCCCGTTTCATGAAAGTTACAGCAGAAACTGAAACTTTTACATCTGGAAAGAGCGTGTAAGTGTGCCTGAGGGTTCAGAAAGAAGGAACAGGTAAGCATGAGTCGTTCGATTTCTACACAAAATGGTCACAACTCTAATGTACAAGGAAGTGAGCTGCAAAAATATGAACGGCGCAAACAATAGAGATAGCAAAAAGTCAGTTGTGCTACCCTTATTTACTGTTACGGGCAACTAAAATTTAAACAGGAATTTTGTTTAAGGATATGCTTGTGGCAACCCTGCTGGTTTCAGGCTGTCATTGTCAGGTGTGCACTATAAGGACTAGCTGGGGTCAAAGGTCACATCGTACCCTGTGATTTGATCCACCTTTCGCTGTTGACATAGACAGAACACTTCTCTCTGCTGCTCCAATCTTCTCCTTTTCCTGGGGCTTGTCTTCCAAGTTCTTGTCTTTCTAAATTTTCTTACAAATGTTTGGCCACACCTTATCCTGATCTGAAAGCCTTTTGCAGAGTTCTTTTTGGAGGGAGATGGAAATGTCTTTTTGAGTTTTGCTCTGTGGTATAATGGATATTTGGGGGAAAAAAGGGGCTTTTCTTATCGTGTAGGTCTTCCACTTTGTCTCAGGCCTGGCCCGTTTTCTACCTCTGGCGTTTGTCTCATTCTTAGTACCACCAGGAGGCTGGAGAAATCAAAGACATAAATCCCTGGCTCGTTCCTGAAAGATATTAATCTTGCTGCCCCCTAACAATACATTAAAGAAAGAGTGCATCTTAATTTGAAAACACCCTTCTTACAGCAAATTACAGTAAATAGGAAATAGACAAAGCACCCCTTTGGGAAGCACGGACAGATTTCCCATGTTTGTCAATTTAAAGAGATTCTGATTTAGCAGGCAGGGGTATGAGTGCAGGAACAGGGAGACCGAATGACTTTGCGTTGCTAGGTAGCCTATCGGTCATCCAAGCAAGGAAACGTGGACTGTAGCGATGCAGCCCAACAAGACGCTGCGGTTTATTTTGTTGTTGTTGTTGTTGGAAAACAAGCGAGGCGACTTTTCAAGCGTACGCGTTATCAGTCCGCTTATAGCAATACACATAGATCAAAGGGCGCATTAGATGGATGCATACCGACGTTTGGGCCTGCGCAGTCGGGGACTATAAAATAAATTACTGGAAATGAACCTGGCCTGGTGAAGCCGGGCCAGGAGATGGCAAAATGAAAACTACATCCAGACACTCTGATATACTGATACCCTGTCTATTGTACAATAACAGTAAGTTAACATTCTGTTGCCGAATATTGCTAGCTAATGCCTCGTCCTCGATTCAGGGTATTTTGGATCATATACAATCTGTTTTACAAAGCTATTGGAAATTGTGGGTCAGGTGTCAGCACAGAATTTATACCTTTCAAGGACTGGTTAACTTTATACCTAACTCGTACATTGTAGTCTTTTTTTTGGGTGTAAATATGGAAAGAATGACACTTTAATAAAATCGGAAAAACATCCATCTCACCCCTGTCTGATGTGCAGAGAGCTGCATGATGATAGAGGCCAGTCACGGTTATATAACCGGAGAACACCAGAGTGGAAACAAGCCAGAGGAAGTAATTAAGCCCATCTAGCCCGTTTCACACTTGCTAGCTAATCGATTCAAGGGTCTCATCCGGCCATTTCTTGAGAGAAGCAAGGGTATCGGTTTCAACAGCACAGCCGGGGAGCTTGTTCCAGACTCCCACAACCCTTTGGGTAAAGAATGGCGTCCTGTTCTCAGTTTTAAATGTACTTCCATGTAGGGCCTTCTTGTGCAAGCTTGTCTGGTCTTGACGTTGAGTGCCGGGATTCACGAGAGACTTGTACTTTAAACATTTCTAATCGCCTGCTTTTCAATACACTCTTACGAAGCGAGATCTGGTTAAAGGAGGTCTGGTCCGGTACCGATGAATTCGTCTACCTCTATTTTCCGTGGGGAGGAGAGCAGAGTGATGAAGCCAGTTCAGAGATGGGGGTTATTAGGAGGCCATGACTGGTAAAGGCCAGGGGGGGGATTTGGCCAGGATGCCAGGGTAACACCTACTCTTTTCGAGAAACGCCCTGGGATTTTTAATTTTTAGAGTTGCTGGCTTGTGTTTCTAAAATCCTTTCGGTTCTTAAAATAGTAGAATGAGGCAAGAAAGGGGCATGAAATCTGTCCCTGATGCCTGGATTTCAGCACGTCTCCCGTTTCGACGACTGCGTTGAATTTGGCCAGCGGGACCACGCGGCACTAAGACCAATTACGATGAGAGAGTTTGACGGCGTCGTTCCCACCTGTGTCCGCACCTCATTCACTGATACACAATAAGAGTTGCTTTGAAAGCTGTCGGGCAGCAGCATTTTTAAGCCAAACTGAAACAGAGCGCTCTGCTCACAGTACTTACTGGAACTGACAAACATAAAGAAGATTATTTTGCGAGACTAAGTCCTGGGCTTGGGGATCTGTTAAAAATCAATCAGTTGGCTCAATTAAGGGTTCAATCAGCTTAAATGATTAAAAAGCTCAGTTTTGGAATGAGACCCAAAGACACAGGGGTACTTCAAGGCCAGGACTACAAAAATGTCACTCAGTGTGGGGGAAAGCACGAGTACTTCCGGTGCACTTGCGCTGTCCACCACTAGGGGGCAGAGCATCCCTGAAATCG